CTTTTCTCAGACCACTGAGATTTTTCAGCCAGAGCAGCAGAGACAAGCAGGGCCTAGGCTCACACGGTTAGGCAGGCTCAAGCCATTTCCACCAAGACAAGCAGAAGGTCTGAGAAGCAGTTTAGTCTGCTGTTAAGAAATACCATCATTAGGGAAGTGGAATGTAGCCTCTTGCACCCCAAATCCAACCAAGTTTCTGATGTCTGTGGACAGCATCGGGTAGACAATGGGAAGAATGGAAAGACACCTAAATGAAGATCTGGAGACCAGATTTCTAGATTTTTCTCTTTCATTTTTTCATCTTGTGGTAGCCAGCTAATTTCCTTACCATGTGAACCAGATTTCTCACCTTGTGACATCTGAGATTCTAAAATAACCCTAAGACATGCTGTGTGAGTGCCAGCTATACTCCATGCTCACGTTATCACCACAAAAAGCCTATGGAGTTGACCTTGATATTCCCATTTCACAGATGGAACCCTGAAGCTCCAAGACTAAACATGGTCAAGGTCACAGAGCAGGTAAGCCAATGAATGAGGCTGGATGCAAACCCAGGTACATCCAAACCCCAGCATTAGGAGTTCTTTTTTGAGTTAATCATGTTGTCAGAATTCTAATGCCAACCTTCCAAAGATCCTGGCCCAATCCACTACCTCCAGCTATGTGTCAAAGTGGTGTCAACATTATCACTACTGCTGCGGAGGGTTGCTTTTTAAGCAAAATGCTTTGTAATTCTCATTCTATTTCAACCCATTCTTCTCCCCTTCTTGTCACAAAGGCTCTACCAAGTCCTTCAGGACCTCTCAAGCTTTCCCAGGCTCATCAGAAAGAGAGCTCAGCTCTCTGGCACCCACAGAGAGACAATCACACATTAGCCCCTAGGTGCTGGCCCATAAGCTTTTCCCAGAACGGACCAGAAGTAGGAGGGAGGAGGGAGCTTGCACTGCACCCAGCCCGTTAGCTCTTCAGGCAGCCAGCAATAATGGAGAATGTGATAAGCTGTCACTAGAAGCCAGCTCAGTTCTCCGAGACTTAATGGTACAATAACACAATAGGGTCAGACTAAAAAGGTTCCCTTATGAAAATTTTATCAGCAACTTTGGTAAATGGCTATGGGAAAGGTGCTTTGCTCCCAGGCAGACCTGGGACCCGATTTTACAAGGTACAGGCGGCCCGCATTGCATCACCCCCACAAGATATTAAGGGCACTCAAATTGAATTAACACCAAATCAAGCCGGTGCACTTAACAATACAAATGCACTTAAGGGATGCCTCAGGATGATTTGTGACTAAAGAAAGCAAAGAAGAAAACGGCCTGCAAGCCACAAGGGTGGTGTTGTGTGTCATATACAGGAAAGGCCATAAGTAGAACTTAGAATACCGGAAAACCATGAACTTCAGGGGCTCTCAAATACCTTAGACACAACTGTAAAGTAGAAGGCCGCTTTTGTGGTATGCAGAAACAATTGATAAATAAATTACAGCCAATTTTCTTAGTGGCATGGTCTCCATTACCTCTGACAGCGGTGTAACTACTCTACTAAGATGATAAGAGGCAAATAATGGCGTATCACGTAGCACCCCAGGAAATTCTCTGCCAGTTGCCAGGTCTCTTCATGACAGTGAAGACACAAAGATCCTCAGTGACAGCCAAGTGATGAGAAGTGACAGCTCGCCAGGCAGACCGTGACAGGTTCTAAAAAGAATCAGCGGCAAATGTCCCTGACAGATGGGACCCCGGAGTCAGGGCTGGCCCCTTGGTCTCCTTCCTTTCCCCGTCAGCATTCGTCCACACACATTTTCTCCTTGCACGTCTTACTCCTTTGCTCTCTGCCTCCCTCACCCTCTTCCCACACCCCTATTCTCACCCCCTCACCTTCTTTCTCTCAAACAGACCCTGTCTACTGAGCTGGAAGACAGTTTGGCCATCTTCATAGATGAATGGCTCTTCTGAGATTATCTTGGAAACTTGGACACATTCTGGACTTGGGAGAATTCAGGGGGAAAAAATGGCCTCACTGGGGATTCCTTTCCATCAAGTGAAATACACACATAAGCATGCTTTTGTTATCCTTCCAGGAAAGAGCTGTCTCCACGCAGGGTCTTAACTCTGAAAACGGGCTCCATTTAGGTTGGAGGTGGCCTAATTTTGTCAGAGTTAAAGCAATTGCTTTTCGAATCATGAGGTGGCTTGGAAACTGGGGCAGGCAGGTTCCATTTTTCACTATAGAGAAAAAAGTTCTCGAATACCAAGACAGACCATTCCAGGACGCTGCTGGGTCCCAGCTCACTCCAGGAGGCAGGCATTATCGTAAGAGAAACCAAGAGGACATGGAGGTCTCTGCGTCTGGAACGACAAATGCTGGGCTCTTGCTCTACTAGAACTCAGTTCTGTGATTCTGAGTGAGTTATTTGACTTCTTTAGTAAAATAGAGCCACTCACATCTTTTCTAATGTCCTCATGGGATTGTCTTGAAGAGGCATCAAAAGTAATTACCAGAAAAATCTTTGCAGCTAGGAACCATCCACATGTACAAGGCATTGCTATGCTGAAAATAATCTACAAATTACACATTTGTAGCAGACCTATTTCTTACATAACCAGTCCTAAGTCCCAAGAATGAATATTCAAACTACCTGGTTTTCCATAACAGCAGCCTCCACTCAAATAATCAGAGGAAGAGAAGAACAAACAAATGTGAAGGAAATCCATTGAAATCCTCAAACTTCATCACACCAATGACTTGTTAGCTTCTCCCATACTGAAGGCTTCCCTGGTGGCTCAGATGGTAAAGAATCTGCCTGCAATGCAGGAGACCTGGGTTTGATCCCTGGGTCAGGAAGATCCCCTGGATAAGGGAATGGCAACCTACTCCAATATTCTTGCCTGGAGAATTCCATGGACAGAGAAGCCTGGTGGGCTACAGTCCACGGGGTCTCAAAGAATCGTGCATGACTGAGTAACTAACACTTCCCATATTGAACTTTGAAGTCAAATGATGAATGGTATCATTCCTGGCATTCCCCAGCTCACCAAATACAACTGCAGGCATGTGACAGGACAGCTTGCTTCTCAGAGGAAGCCAGAGATCTGCCCCATCCTCTGATCCTCCTCAGAGAGGTCAGCCATCACAACAGGTGACAGCATCGCATGACACACGGCCTTCTGGGCCCTTTACCTCCATCCTGGACAGCTGGAGTCCCTGCCCATGTACTGCCCTCCGCTTACTCTGTTCTACATGATCCTCCATGCACTTCCACTGCTTGCTGTGCTGTGCTAAGTCGCTTCAGTTGTGTCCTACTCTGTGCAACCCTGTGGACTACAGACTGCCAGCCTCCTCTGTCCATGGGATTCTCCAGGCAAGAATACTGAAGCGGGTTGCCATTCCCTCCTCCAGGGGATCTTCCCATCCCAGGAATCCAAGCTGGGTCTCCTGCATCTCCTTCATTGGCAGATGGATTCTTTACCACTAGAACCACCAGGGAAGCCCATTTACATTGCTTACTTCTTACCTATTATTAGTCCTCTTTCCTCAAGCAAAATTCTTTGAAGCTCATAAATCATTATTCAACAGTGGTTCATCCAGTCAACAAATATTTATTGAGGGCTTACCATGTTCTCTGCATGGTGCTAGGTCTCAGGAATATAGGGGTAAATCAGACAACACCCCTAACTCTAAAGAGCTTACTTTCAATATCATTATCCCTTTCTTAGCCCCATCTTTGGTTTCTCTATAATCAGAAATGCAGAATTCTAAGCTGAGCACACCTCTCTAGTGAAGCAAACCTCTTTATAAATTGGAAAGGAAGAACAATGTGTGTTACCTAGGAGTCCCCATGTGTATGTGGCTAATTGCATCCTTCAGACAGAATTCATTCTTCCCTCTGTTGGGCTCCTGTAGACTCATACATACTTCTATCACATAATGTGTTCAATTATTTGTTTAAGTGTTGCTCTCTCCCCCAAACACTCTGGACTCTGGCTTGGGCACCCTGATTATCTTACTCTTGCCCAAATCCAAAGCACATATCACAATGCTTGGTCCTTAGCCAGAACTCAGTAAGCCTATGTGGAATGAATGAATAAATGAATGAATGAATCTGTCATCTCTTTACTTTCTCTGTTTATGACCATCCTCCCTTTCTTCTTTCTTTTCTATTATCCCCAACCTCAGTCTATGATCCAGGGAACTCAGTGTAACTCAGTGGTGATGACTCAGGCTTTTTCTGGAGTGTTTTGGGGTTGGCTCCTGTTGGCTTGCAAGAGCAGATTGTTAAATATTTGGGATTTTTTTTTTTAGCTGATTTAACTGTTAGAAACTTGAAATTGGTCATGGTGGAAGTATTTACATGATGGAAATCAGTAAATACTCTGTATCAGGCATTTAGAGTTTTGTTTTGGTTTTGGTTTTTTGGGAGCCTGTTTGTCAGCCCACCACTGCCCTGATTTAGCCAGACTTGGAGTTCTGACTCAGCTTTGACACTCATTAACTGTGTGACCTTGGACAACCTGCTTGTTATCTCAAAGACTCAATTTCCTCATCTATAAAATGGGGATGATAATTATAACTTCAAGGGGTTATTGTGAGCCTTTAAGTGACCTAATGTTTATAAAGTGCTTAGCACGGTTCCTCATACATAGTATGTAGCCAATAAAAGCAGTTTATTAGTATTAGCATTATTCTCTGGCTTTCCATTAGGCATTCTTTCATCCAGTTTGTTATACTTCTTTTCTTATACCCCAAAGGATTTATGACAACTTAATAAAGCACAAGCCATAAAATAGAAAATAAAAATCAGGATAAGGGAAAATAAAATATCATAACACAAACTCACAATCACAACGCTATTCTGATTGGATGCAATCTAATAGACTACAACCACAGAATGTTAGCTGGCAATTTCTTAAAATGTCACCAATAGAGTCACCTAAAAGTGACTTAACCTTAAAGCATTAGAGTGGACAGGGCCTCAGAGATCTTCTTGTTCAATTCCTTACCTTACAGATGGAAAATGGAAGTCAGCAGGCAGGAAAGAATCATTTCTTGGGCACTTCCAGGCATGGTGATGGATGCTTTCACTTTTATCATCTCCAGGCTGTTCCAATTTACAGATGAAACCACTGAGGCCAGGGAAATGGCAGGCTTCTCCTAAACCCACCAGGCTGCTAGTTGTAGAACTAAAATGGGAACCAGATTCCCGTGTCCCAGTCCACTCCCTTTGTCTTCCCAGGTACCATGCTCTCTCTTCACTCCAGGAAGAGCTGTTTTGTGATAACAGCTTCCTGAAGATCAATCTCCCAAGATCCAACAGAATCATAGTCAAATGGAGAAACTGCAAGTACTGTGGTAGAGGGGACTTCCCAGGGAATTTCCTAGGTCTGACTGTGGCATATGAAAGAAGGACATGCATAAGCTCACTGGCAGGAGCAGCTGCTTTTGTACAAAACCCATCCTCATTTCGTGTTAGCTTTTGAAAAGAGAACTGTGCTTTTAATTCAATTCATTTGCGGTCTTCTCTGAAGTTCAGGTCTTCTGCTGGTCTTATAACTAGATTTTTTTCCTAACTTCTACCAATAGCTTCATTTTTCACACAACCTTCTATTGGCGTGGTTAATAGCAACAGAAATCAAATCTCTTTTCCCTTCTTCTTCATCTGAAAGAAGCAGCACAAAACAAGAAATTGGTTAAAGCAATAGATGGGTTGGAGATGGGAGGTCAAGGAAGAGCCTGCATAATTCACAAAGTGAATGAATCCTCCATTTATGGGGAGCTGACAGCAATGTCTCACTTATTAGGCCACCACCCTTCTTTGGCAGCAAGCAGGTTGGTGGCCCAGCTTGGGAGTTCTGTTTTATGGGAATAGTGTTATTGCTTTCAGAGCTGTAGCTGACCTCACACCAAATAAACACGTCAACCACTCCTCAAGTCCCTGTTCCCAGGTGTGGCACGGAGGCACCGTGCAAGGACCCTCATGGCCTCGCTCCCTTTTTTCCCCGCCTCCACTCAGAAATGGCTCTCCAGGTCCTAGTGTCCATGCTAACAGCCCCTTTTCTCTCTTTCCCTGTCCCATTCTCCAAATCATCTGTTCCATCTGCCCAAGATCTCACAACTGGACAAGTATTGTCACATTAGTGCAGGTCAAGCTGCTCACCTTCAGAGAAACTTCTGGATAACACAGGAGGTTCTGGGGGGAGGAACACGATGGCACAACTGAATACAAATTCTCACACATATCTTTCAAAACTGAAATTGGGCACTTTTTAAATTATTTCTTTTTCCAGTTTTTCAAAATATGTTTTTTAATGATTTGTTTTTCACACAGCAGAATTAATTGTTCCAGACTTAACCCGAGGTAGGCTCTACCACAAGCATAATTCAGAGGCCTATCACTCTACCACCTGTTGGGTGAGCTTGGGTAACGCTGACTCACTCTTATGGTTTTAAATGAGGCAGTTCAGTTCAGTGGCTCAGTCATGTTTGACTCTTTGAAACCCCATGGACTACAGCATGCCAGGCTTCCCTGTCCATCACCAACTCCCGGAGCTTGTTCAAACTGATGTCCCATCAAGTTGTGATGCCATCCAACCCTCTCATCCTCTGTCATTCCCTTCTCCCCACTCCTTCAATCTTTCCCAGGATCAGGGTCTTCTCAAATGAGTCAGCTCTCAGAATCAGGTGGCCAAAGTATTGGAGCTTCAGCTTCTGCATCAGTCCTTCCAATGAATATTCAGGACTGATTTCCTTTAGGATTGAGCAAGATCAAAAAGAAAATCTGTGACCCCAAATGAAACTAAACCCCCACAATCCACTGGAAAGCCATTTCCAAGGGCTGTCTGCAAATCCATCGTGTGGAAGCCCTCCCCAGATTGTCAGTCTACGGACACTGAAGTGCTCACCTGGGCATGTGGAGAGTTGGGGCATGGCTCCCATAGAAGGCTGATGTGGATTTCAACTCTACTGCTTACTTTCTCTGTGACCTTAGTCAAACTGCAATGGTCTTAATCCCTTAAGGGCAAAATGGGAAAATTATTAGTGGCCTGACGTCTGACACGACTGAGCGACTGAACTGAACTGATTGAACTGACGTCCATCAGGTAGCAAACGCGAACGTGCTTTGGAAAAAAGCGATGCGGTTTAAAAAAAAAAAAAAGACAGCTGTTGCTATTATGATAAATCAAAAGTAAGACCAGTGTGTGTTTCATAAGATAAAACCTGAGGCGCGGGCCTCTGGGAGCACCTCTTTTAGAGCTGGTGGGGAGGCTGCTGTGGAGATGGCGCGGCCTGACCGGCCTCCATGTCTGCGGGAGCTGCTGTGACTCGGGATCGCAGAGCGGTGCATTGTGGGAGAGCCCACAGCTTGCCTATTGCCTACACAGCCAATCTGAAACCACGCTCCTGTTTTATATTGGCGCAGAGCTTCCAAGGTGGCGGTAGTGGTAAAGATCTTGCCTGCCAACACAAGAGACCTAAGAGAAACGGGTTCAATCCCTGGGTTGGGAAAATCCCCTGCAGGAGGGCATGGCAACCACGCCAGGATTCTTGCCTGGAGAATCCCATGGACAGAGGAGCCTGGCAGGGTACAGGCAGGCTACAGTCCGTAGGGTCGCAAAGAGTCAGACACGACTGAAGTGATTTAGCATGCAAGCAGGCAAAAGTTAATTAACTGTGTTGTGTAATTTCAGGTGTATAGGCAAGTGATTCAGTTATACATATACATGCATCTATTCTTTTTCTAATTCTTTTCCCATTTAGGTTATTATATTATATTGAGCAGAGTTCCCCTATACAGTAAGTTCTTGTTGGTTACCTTTTTTTTTTTAATTTTTTTTTTAATGTGGACCATTTTTAAAGCTTTTATTGAATTTGTTACTATATTGCTTCTGTTTTATGGTTTGGGTTTTTGGCCACAAGACATGTGGGATCTCAGCTTCCCAACCAGGTATTGAACCCACGCCCTGTTACTGGAAGGCGAAATCTTAACCACCAGACTTCCAGGGAAGTCCCTGGTTATCTACTTTAAATATAGCAGTGTGTAGATGTTAATCCCAAACTCCCAGATCTATCTATCCCAATCTCCCCCACCCTTCCACCCTAGTAACCATAAATTTGTTCTGTGAGTCTGTTTCTGGACATACTCTTTAGAAAGAGCTGCAGATACTCCCTGATGAAAAGGATTCCAACACTTGGGCTTACTTTGAGACAGTTTTCCCAGTGCCAATCCTGCCTTAGAATTTTGCTGAGGAATTTTACTTCCTTTTTTGAGGGGAAGAAGACAGTTGAGACAATTAAAACTCTATTCTGGAGGTGTAACAACAGTTCTGGTCTGGCCTGTGTTTCACCCCCATCTAGCCTTCAGGCTTCACCTAAAGTCTCCTATGGGAAACAGGCCTGAGAGTTTGTATCTTTGTGGGTCTATTACAAGGTCTTTTTGTGTTCTGCTTCTCAAGTTTCTGAGTCTGTAACTTGTGAAAGAAAACTGGCAAAGCACCTCTTTAGACAGAAGTCACCTTGAAATTCACTACCTCTTCCTCCTCTGAGAACCAGGGGGCAGGACCCTCATAGAGACGGCCCTCACCCTTCCAAACACGTCTGGGCTGTGCGAGGGTGACTCATGCAGGCCAGCGAGGACCCCCCACAAGTCAGGCTGTCACTGCAGGGTAGCAGGCATGGGGCTGAGCCATAGAGGGAGGAAGAGGCCGGCGAGTGTTCTCACGGTGGCCGGTGAGGGGAGAGTGGAAGGATGTGGTCATGGGGAGAGAGGAAAGAAAGATGAATGGGGCCTGAGTCAGTCATAGGCTAAAGCAAACAGGAAGGTTTTAAAGTGAGATTTGAGGAGAGGAAGTGGTTCTGAGCAAGGGAGGGAGAGAGTTCCAGAGATCTGTCTTGGAAAAGAGCTACTCTTCATTTTTTTGGATAGTCCTACTCATGTGAATATTTCTTGGCGGTACTGACAGATGGGTGAACCAATTTTTTTTATTATTATTATTTTTTAAATCACTACTGGCTCCAACCTACCCCCTAGAACTTGAACCAAAAAGGATTAAGACTTTCAGTTTGAAAACATTCAGTGTATTCATTTGTGTTAAATTGTGCTGCTGTCTGCTGCTCTTAGCAAACACCCAGGGCCACCCAGATGAAGGGAGCATGGAGAGCAGGGTGGCTTGTCCAACTGAGGTCATCTCTTGAATACTATGTCCACTGCGCCTCCCCTCGTCCAGGGAACGTGATCCCGGGAGAGCTTAGCATCTTTCTAAATCTTTCTAAACTGCCAGATGTGGAATTATGATTGGCTAACTTTCTACCCGGGAAGAGGGGCTGTGTACAGTGGAGGGAGGGAAGAGGGACGGAGGTACAGGACTGGGGAGTAAAGGCTAGGGTTTTTCACTTGGCATTCCCATGGAAAGCATAAAAACACAGATCCAACCCAGTAAAGGGCAACCTTGATAAATGCACAGTGCTCTGCCTTCTGAGAACTAATCTTGGGACAGTTTTAAAAGCCAAAACAAAAAACAAAAAGACTTCTAAATGAAGGACTTAAAAATGGCAAATCCTTCCAGCTCCTTGGTGAAGTCCCCTTCCCAAGACGGTTTATCAGAAATTGTTTTGTTCATATTGTGAAAGATAATAAAATCCTCTGGGCTTCAAGAGCTAAGAGGCATTACTTTTGCTTCTTGTTTCATGATTATGGGAACTGAACCTTCATAAGCCTCATTTTTCTTATCTGTAAAATGGGAGTAACAAGCTTTGCTTCCACCTCAAAAGATTTTACATGTTTGAATTTACATCTGGATGTGTACACGGAAGAATATTATTTACAATAGCAGAACCTTTTGTAGAACAACAATTAATGACATCCAGGTTGTCATTTGTTTCTTCCTAGTCTAAAACTGAACTTGGGCATGACCAACCCTAATGCGGGATCATTTTTTATTGAGTTAGAAAATAAACTATTTAAATAAAAGCCACAGTTTTTTCTGTGCTCTGTCCACATTATCTATTATGAAATCCAAACTCACTCCATGCTGCAATAAAATTTCTAACCTTAGTGATCACATTTTAAATGCTTATATTATTCTTAATAGCTTATTGAGATAGGATACACGTGTCCTTATAGACAGGTTTTACCACTGTCCAAAAGGACAGTGCTCTTATGAAACCTTCCATAAGCCAAAACGGCATGAAGCAAAGAATCAATTACCTAAGGACACATCTTGTTAACCAATGCATGAAATAAATCAGGATAAAACACAGATGCTCACAGACTCAGGTCGCTATGGTGGCTTGATGCTGAGATGCTGTGTGTGGTTCCCTGGAAGGAACCCCGAGGGGCCACTCTTGTCAACCCCTATAACAGCTCACTGCAAAACCAACTCTGGACATTATTTTCACTTTTTGTCTTTTTCTGTAAAA